CTCTGGGTTTTCCGTTTCAAAATTGCAGGTGGTGTAAACTCGAGAAAGCAGGGTAAGTCAAGCCTGTTTCTAAAAGAAAGGTAACTTTAACTCAGAATCAGTTACTGTGGTAACTTACTCTGTGAACCTAACCTGGTCAGGAGCAGGTTTTATTCTCCAAACTCAGAGTTTCTGTCGGTCTCCTCCCCCATTTTTAAAGATGAAGTGGTATTTCTCGCCTTAGCCTTAAGTTTCCACCCACCTATTTTAATGCTCATTTTGGATACGTGCATAAAAACAATTGATAGAAACGTCATGATGCACATAACTTTTTAAAATATGCATAAAAAACACGCGCATAACTGAGTAGGATAAACTTTTATTCGATAGAAAATGTGCGCATAAACTACGATGGAAACACTTTTACTGAACAAATTACAGTATGTACATTAAAAAAAGGTCTTTATATGATGATGAAAATGTGTGTGAATGGACAAACCAGCAGGCTGAGCACACTGTAACATGTCTTAAATATTATTTTAGCCATTCTAAAATGCCTTAACTGTTTCAGTATTAGTGTATATTATTAATTACCTCCGAGCGTCTGTAGCGTGTTAAGAGTTCATGTTCATTGTCTTTCAGCATTGTTTTCTGACATGGAGGCACAAGTACATTAATTAAATAAAGAAATAATTGACGCAGCTTATTTTACCTCAGTAAATTCTGTTTTTACTGTTGATATTTGGTGCCAGTTTAGTCAGGAAATGAAGATTTTTTTTCTCTTTGACTCGTTGGATGGAATCTCTGCTTTATTTGCATCATTTATGCAATATTCCAGTTTTGCACATAAATTTATGTAATATATTTGGATGGAAACATAGATATTGTCTACATTTTAGGCACACATAGAACAGTACGTGAATGGCTTGTCCTTTTTTAATAAATAATTAAATTTATTCACTGACCTTCGGCATGCACTGTTACTAGATTAATGGGATTATTATTCTTTCTAAAAATTATTTTTAGTACTGCTTACCTTCTAAATGTTATATCAACCTCTATCACTTGATCAGTAAAAATGGCAGACACACAAGTGCACTGTTAAATCAATTAAAACTGATAAATGTGTATAAAAGTTTAGAAAAAATTCACACGTCAAAACGTCAAACATTACATAGCTTATTTTATTATACTTAAATATTTAAATACTTAAAAAGTGAAATCACGCATTAACTTAAGCAGCTGTTTACCCACGCTGTCTCTGTTTCACTGATGGTTGCTTCTTTTCAAATATATACGCTCATATTTGCTATTACTTTGCATGAGCACATCAAGTTCAGCTGGAGAAAGAAATGGTGATCTCTTTTATTAGATATTGCCATAGTCACTCGTAATATCTGCGCTCCATTGATAATGCCTTTTTATAGTCATGTGCTGTGTCCCAAATGGCACACTATACACTATGCACTCATGCACTATGTACTTATGCACTTACACACTCAACAGGATAGTATATGTATGTAGTGTTGTCCCAAATGGCACACTAATGTTTTTTTACTAAGCGGAAATTCAAACCGTTTCCTTGATGACGTTTGACGGTTGCCAAATCAGTGAAATAAATGAGCAAACTATCAAATTATACCTGCCATGAGTATAACCGCATTCACCATCGGGAGGCGCTATAATAACTCTCACAGGAGAAATTTGCTTTCACAATCCAAACTAAATTAAAGCTGCAAGCAGCGATGATAGGGACCTCGCACCCGGGCTCACCGCCGCCCGGTGGCCTCAGGATGACAAAGAACTGCGAACAACCCTAATTTAAGCCGATATATATAAAGAACTTGAGAAAATCACAGATTCATGCCGAACTTCCTCCTGTCAGCAGGTGGCGCTATAACTGTGACTCAAGATTGTTATGTAGATGCCTTCAGTAAAGGAATCTTATCAACCATGTAAATTTTCAGGCAGATCGAATATTGTTTGGCGTTAAAAGTTATTGTTTGGAGTTATAAGCCAAACTTCTGGTTGCCAGCAGGTGGCGCTATGACTGTGACTCAATATTGTTTTGTAGATGTCTTCAGGAGTGGATTTTAATTAACCATGTGAAGTTTCAAGCTGTTCAGACACTCTCTTGGTGAGTTATAAGCCAAACTACCTTCTGCCATCTGGTGGCGCTATGACAGATTCAATATTGGCATGTAGATGTGTTCAGGAGAGGACTTTTATCAACCATGTGAAGTTTCAGGCAGATCCAAAATTGTGTGGTTGAGTTAGAAGGACCTCCTGTTCCATGGCGAAGCGTTGAGGTTTGTCATGCCGCCACGGACACACCCCTCCGCGAAAACTCTAGATCTTCACAATATATCACCGATAGAGCTTTCAGATAACACCACTCAAATTTCGTGCTGATACGATAAAATTTGTGGGAGGAGTTTGTTACTCTGTAAATCATGTCATTTCCTGTGGCCAGCAGGTGGCGCTATAACTCTATCTGGATATCGGCATGTAAACGTGTTCAGGTCAGGACTGTTATCAGAGGTGTGAATTTTGAGGCAGATCGGATAATGCATGCCTGAGTTATAATGACTTCCTGTTTTATGGCGAATCATTAAAGTTTGTGAGGCCGCCACGGACACGCCCGTCGACGAAAACTCTAAAGCTTCGCAATTTAACATCGCCAAGGCCTTTAGATGACAAAACCCAATTTTGGTGTCGATCGGATAAAATCCCTAGGAGGAGTTCGTTAAAATACAACGCCGGCAAAAACGACAATGGCAAAAACGCCAGTTTTTCGCCGCAGGAAGTTAAAAATATCTGACTTCCTGTTGGGTTTGAGATATGGCTCCAAGAGACTTTTTCGTATGTTTTGGTGTGTTTGAGGTGTGTGCCAATTTTCGTGCATGTGCGTGATTCGTATATCGGGGGCTTGTCCGTTTAATTTTTATAGGTGGCGCTGTCGAGTCATTTTGCCACGCCCACTTCGAAGCCCATAACAAACGTAAATTTTCACCACTTCTGAGGCGTGTGCAAAGTTGCGTGAGTTTTCGGGCATGTTTAGCCCCTCTAAACCGCGATTCATTCCGCGGAAGAAGAAGAAGAAGAAGAAGAAGAAGAAGAAGAAGAAGAAGAAGAAGAAGAAGAAGAAGAAGAAACAGAGCAATTCCAATAGGGCCTACGCACCGTTTCGGTGCTCGGTCCCTAATAAAGTTATCCAACATGTGCGCCCGATAGCTCCACCCCTTCCGCTACGTGAGCAAACCTGTGGTCGTTGAGTGCGTGAAGTGTCCATCATTACACACTTCATTTTAGTGGCTGAATAATTGCATCATCCGGGTAATTAAAGTGCACTTATTATTTTTAGAGTTTTCAGTGTGAACGCACTACTTACACTATTTATACTACAAAATGGCATAGAATAGTGCATAAGTATGCGATTTGGGACGCAGCTATGGTGTGCGCGCTTAACTCTGAGTTGGTCTACTAAAAGTTGATTGACCCAACTCAGATCAGCTGTTCTGAAACCGAAAACTCAGAGTTTTTAATCTCTCGGTAAATCAACTCAGAGTTCAAGTTTAAACTCAGAGTTGGTTGAACCTCCTTACTGAAACAGACCCCAGGTGCTATCAATCATAAGCACGTGCTGCTCTCGAAATTAGTTTATAAATAAGCTACACAACGTGTTACTGTGGAATGCGTTACACCCAGCTCTGCGTTATTTAATGTTGAAAACATTGTGCATTTTTAAGCATCAAATTACACTCTGAAATATCTATTATGTGTGATCATTTGGAATTTGGTGATAATGAGAAATGTGCAATTTGCTCTGCGCTGCTAGATTTTCATGAGGTGAAAATTGCTTAAACAACCAGTCTTTTAAACACCTTGAAAGTCGACATAGCAAGGAACATGAGAAGACTTTCAAAGCTGAAACTGTGTGAATTTGAATTAATTTAATCCAAAAATAAACCTTAATTTAATCTTTAGAATTTAATCAAATGAGGAAAGAATGTTCATTTGAGTTAATTTGTATTTTCTGTGTAGGATCAAAACCAGTTACTGATTAATTATTTTGTTGAAATCAACAAATTAATTATCAAATAAAATATGTTTTAACAACTATTGGTGTCATTCATTCATTCATTAATTCATTCTGTTTCTTTTCGGCTTAGTCCCTTTATTAATCTGATCAAGATATTATTTGTTGTTCCTAAAACTTGGATAGGCGACTTTTGTCTGGCAGAGTACTGTATATACTGCTAAAAGAAACAAAGGGAACACTTGGAGTTGCATTGTGTTGTTTATGTGTTCCATTTTTGTTTTTGAGCAGAGTACACACTTTACAGGCATACATATATATGCATATCAACCATGCAAGTATTACAATTAAGACCTCTATTAAAATATTACAATTATTTTAGATTTATTTTGAATTATGTAAATAGATCACATATTATTTCATTGTTATCATCACCTGTCAAACACTTTTCATTATCCAGTCAACACAGTCATATTGCTATGACAAGGCTTTTCCATGTAGAGCTGTACCATGCGCAAAATCTGTTCATTCATGTCACTCTTGTGTAAAGTTGAAAAAAAGAAACTTACTTTTAAAGTCAAATATCCATAAACAAATCAAACCTGTTTGATCTTGACTTACACATTTAGATTTCCCCAAAAAGAATACCTTTGCTTGACGTTTGGCTGTTGACTGCAGTGTTACAAAGAGGCATTTGCAGCTCGGTTAATGGAGAAAATACTAAATCTCAGCTTTCCACGACTGCATGAAATGCATTTAATTGGATGATTCCAGGATTCTTCCCAGTGTCAGTCTAATTGTGTTGAATGGCTTATCGGAGACAACAATTTACTGCAGTGATTCTCATTTACTTCTTCCAGTTGTGGAGTTGACCTTTTCACCGTTCTAATTTTATTAAGAGGTTATTAAAGCTTCCTCACTGAATGCTCATTGCATTTCAGCTCTCTAGAGAAACCAAGAAAAGGCTGAAATCTGCATGAAATCATTCTGTAGCTTGAAATTTATTGTACAATGCTTACATATATTACAAAAGAATCAGTTTTAAAGTGCAACTGGTGAATTTGTCTGTGTTTCATTCACTTTTGAAGTAAGATCACACAAGTTGTTTATAGTGGAATGTGTGCCACTACAGGAAGTTGTGTGTTCCTCGTGTAAAAAAAGATTTTCTCTCTCTGAGGCAGAAGCATTTAGCTTGACTTTAAGAGAAGATCAGTTTCTTATAGAAAAGAGTGCAATATCCAATCATTGATCCACTTGGTGCTGGAAGAGTAGCCCAGAAGGAGGAGATTCAGTCTGAAAGCACGAGGCGAGGATGAGTGCTGGGCAACTCACTAATCCACCTAAAAGCCAACAGAGAGACATGTCAGTCACATGAAGAAGAGGTGCCACAAAACACTTAAACTCAAAATGTCTTTCTTAAGTCATATTCGCCCCAGTGATTTAAAGCCAGCATGATACAGAAGCTGTGTGGTAATCAGTGTTGAGAGTCCGTGTTGGGGAATGTTACTTTTGATAGTAATGCATTACATTATTAAGTTACTCCCCAAAAAGGTACTAGTTGCATTACTTAGTTACTTTATTAGTAAGTAATGCATTACACTACTTTTGGGTTACTTTTTATTACCTGGCTGAGGCTTGATCTCTTTCAGAACTATATATATTTTTAACAGAGAAGCTCTGCAATTAACAACACAGTGCATAACACACACCTTTATTTACCTTTAAAAAACACATCAATAATATTTCAGGATAATGTTATCTGAGAACTTCCTTACCAACATATTTGTGTACTGCGGTACATCCTGTGTGTATTAAGCCATTTGTACGTGTTTTGGTCCTGCATAGGCACATAACTAACATGCTCTGCCTTTTACTTTAGAACAGCTTTAATTTCAGTTTCTCAAAATAGCAACACGCCAACAATGTGCCATAGCACACCTTTTTAAACCAGCACAACCAAGACTAGAACAGGTGGCGTTCTTGCTGTGAACAACAGTGCTAACCACTGGGCCACCATGCCACCCTATGGAGGGAAAGGTGAAGAGGTAGGGGTGTAAGGGGGGATTCTTCAAATCAAAGATGACTGTAGTGAAAAACCCTCTCTCTTTATAGTGGGTTAGGAATGGCCTGATTGGTGGATCATACATGCTAATGCAGAACCAGACATGTTTAATCATAATCACGTGATCCTCTTGAAATTAGCTTATGAATAAACAGCATTGTAACAACTTTAATTTTAATTATGCAATTAATCTTTATGAGCTAATTAATTGAACAGAAAGTAACTCAAATATTATTACTTATGTTTTGAAAGAAATGTGTTACTTTACTAGAGGAAAAGTAATATTATTCTATAACTTGCATTGATTGTAATGTGTTACTCCCAACACTGTTGAGAGTAACACATTACAAAGGTGATTTCAGTATTAGTTTTGCTGTAACACAGTAATATAACATTCATATATAAATAACATTAATTTATATAAACTATATATTTTTGTAGTATAATTACTCATTAAAAATCTCAGTAATGCAAGTTACAACTATACATTTCAGCCGAATTTAGGTGGTGTGAGGATTTGCTTTGCTTTTACCACAAGACATTCGCACTGCACATACCAGATGTTAAAGGGTCACGAATCATCAAAACACATTTTTTTGAGATGTTGACAGTCATATATGTGTCCCACGCTGCTAAAAACTCTATTAGGACCCATATTTATATATATATATATATATTATTTAATATAAATATATACCCATATTTATATATATATATATATATATATATATATATATATATATATATATATATATATATATATATATATATATATAACTAAAAAGTGAAAAATGGTTGTTTTTTCGTTATTTTGAGCAAATTCGTTCTTCCGGTTAAAACAAACTTTTGAAGCTGCGTTACGGCGATTAGATACTTGTGTGTATTACAGCGTGGAGACTGAATGTCAGTAACTGTGAGCATTGTGACGTCTCTTGAGAGTGCAGCATTTATTCATGAGAAAGACTTGGCTCAAACCAATCAGCGCCAATCTAATCTACTGTGTATGTGGTGCAACCTCAATGTGCATGATAGCTTCGAAGACTGTTTTTACCTGTTACAGTATTCAAAAGGCAGAGTGACACCACGTTGTGTTGCCAAAACAAGTGGAAGGACAAGAATTTAAAGAATAGTTTTCATATTTACGCTATGAGAGCACAGCTGAACTCATGTGTGGATTAAAGTGCACGTGACACATGGCAGAAATACGTTGGTAACACTTTACAATAAGGTTCATTAGTAAATGCATTTACTAACATGAACTAATCATGAACAACACTTGTTTAGCATTTATTAAACATAATTGAACATTTACTAATGCATTATTAACATTCAAGTCCATGCTTGTTAACGTTAGTTAATGCACCATGAGTTAACATGAACTAACAATGAACAACTGTATTTTCATTAACTAACGTTTATTAACATGAATAAATACTGTAGTAAATGTATTGTTCATTGTTTGTTCATGTTAGTAAATGCATTACTTAACATTAACTAATGAACCTTATTGTAAAGTATGACCAATACGTTTGTAAGGAGCATTTTTTACCCGAGAGCTTTTCTCATCTGGAAATGGTAAATTCTGGATTTGTCGCTCATCTCCTTTTAAAAAAGATGCAGTTCCAGTTGGTGTTGACTGTCCTGTCTCTACAGATTTGGTAAGTGTGTGTGATCAGTGCTTTTTGTTTGTTCATTCGAATGGCAAAGTTAGTTCGTATCATCAGCAGTATCACATTTATATCACTGCAGTATTATAGTACAATGTTATAGCCTAAAAGATCGTCTGCAAATGCTGCTCTCCGAATGTAAACATGTAAACACCTTAATCAAAGTAAATTTTTGACTTAATCGCCGTATTTTGTGACAGGACAGTCTATACACACACGGCTTTCTGACGCTACCTACCCAGTGCATTTAACTTACAGAGAAATTCTGGGGTTTTTTTTTTCTCCCTTTCACAATGCGGTATCAAACATTCCATTAAAACTACACTCTTCCAGATGTTCATCCTTGCATCCAATTTCTCATTTGTCACGGGGAGCATGCATGAAATGTTCCTGAATGAAAGTGAAAGTGCTAAACTGCAGTTAAAGTCGAGAAATTAAGAATTTTGCAAATAATTCAATTACTGATATCCATGTAAACACAGTCACTGTCTTTCTCCCTTGTGTCTGTGTATTTTGCCTCTGTGAAATGGAAACTCTAATTTTTATGCAAAATCTTCCCTCTTTCCTTTGCCCGACACTCCCACCCACTTTCCTGACTTTTTTTTTTTACTAGAGGGGTGAAAACACCCTGCTGAGAGGGGGGTTTCATGGCCCTTTAAAACTCTCAAATAAAAGAGGCAGTACCGATCCCCCCTACGCTCACCTTAGTCCCCGCATTGCTCTTGCAGATGGATACTTATTCATTCTTTTGTTCTCTTTTTGTTTTTTTTCCCTTTATTTATCAGGGGTCGCTACAGCGGAATGAACCACCAACTTATGCACACGTTTTATGCAGCGGATGCCCTTCCAGCTGCAATCCATCACAGGGAAACACTCATACACTCTCATTCACACACATACAATACGCACAATTTACCCAATTCAACTATAGTGCATGTCTTTGGACTTGTGAAACCGGAGCACCCAGAGAAAACCCACGCGAACAGGGGAAGAATATGCAAACTCCACAAAGAAATGCCAACTGACCTAGCTGAGGCTCGCACTACCAACCTTATTGCTTTGACGTGACAGCGCTACTCACTGCACTGCCTTGAATACAAATGAAACGAAAAAATGAAACAAAAAATTAGCACAAAGGAGATAACATGCATAGCGAGTAATTTAGAGCAAGGTACAAGGTTAGACAGTATAAAGCAAGGTTTAGGCCAGAGTCATAGAATGTGCACAAAAGATTTCCTGATTGCCAATACTTTGGCCAGGACACCAGGGTTACACCCCTGCTCTTTCACAAGAAGTGCCATGGGATTTTTAATGACCACTGAGAGTCAGGACCTCGGTTTAACGTCTCATCCGAAAGACGGCACCCACTGACAGTGTAGTGTACCCTTCACTTTTACTGGGGCATTAGGACTCACGCAGACCACAGGTTGAGCGCCCCCTGCTGGCCTCACTAACACCACTTCCAACAGCAACCTAGTGTTCCCTAGTGGTCTCCCATCCAGGTACTGACCAGGCTCAGCCCTGCTTAGCTTCAGTGAGTAACCGGTCTTGGGCTGCAGGGTGATATGGCTGGGATATGTGTGTTGGAGCACATCTGATCATTTCTGGAAGCTGATTACAGCAGCGAGGGGTGTAGTGCCTGAAAGCTAAATCATCCTGCTTTGACTATACTCTTGGAATTTCTAGTTTCCTAACGATCTGAGTGATCTATTGGGTTTGAATTCTTTGAGCATACAGTATCTGTAATGTATTGAGGTCCTAGGCCATTTAGTGATTTATAGACAAGTAGTAATACTTTAAAATCTATTCTGAATGTAACTGGGAGCCAGTGTAAAGACCTGAGGATAGGCGTGCTGTGCTCTGATTTTCTGGTTCTGGTCAGAATCCTGTCCCGCTCTGGATGAGCTGCAACTGTCTTGACTGTCTTTTTGAGAAGGCCAGTGAGTAGTCCGTTACAGTAATCCACCCTTATGCTGATAAAAGCATGAAAAAGCTTCTCTTAGTCCTGACTTGAAACAAAGCATCTAATTCTTGCAATGTTTTTGAGATGATAGTATGCTGATTTACATACTGCTTTGACATGACTACTGAAACTCACATTTGACTCCAGAACCACACCAAGATTCTTAACATTATTTTTTGTTGTTTGACCCTTAGGGCCAAGGTACACATTCACCCTGAGAACTTCATCTCTGTTCCCAAACGCAATGACTTCAGTTTTCTCTTTGTTCAATTGAAGAAAGTTTTAGCACATCCAATTGGTAATTTCATCAATGCATTGGCAGAGGGTGTCAATAGGGCTGTAGTCATTAGGCAGTAAGGCTAAGAAAGATGCCTTGCCTTTGTCGACTATGTGTTGATCTGAATTCTACAGTATGTTTATTGATTGTATCATTGCAGGGAAAAAACACCAAAAAGCTGGGATGATAAAACATACTCACACATACCTACACTATGGCAAGCTCAGAAAGTGCACTTACATACACACACACACACACACACACACACACACACACACACACACACAAAATTAAGTTGCACACAGTTAGAGTTTTCTATATGGTGAACGGAACATAGAGGATAGTACACTATATAGTGGGTAAATGGTTGA